AAAGGTTGTGCAGTCAAATTCTAGGTCCATGTCCATCTCCCCAGTCCCAGGACAGAGTGGCAACTTATATAGCCGACAATTGTCTAAAAGCAAGAATTTGAAAGTATAGGCGTCATTAATCCAAGAAACAAAGGCTCAAGAAAAGGTACACTGTATTGTACTAACAAATTGAAGCTGGAGGACGGAATGTAAGGTGCGCGCAATCTGGCTCTGTAGAAGAGAAGAGCAATTCAGGAAAACCATTGCAATCCATTTCATATAGAGTGAATTGCAAATCGTTCAAGAAAATCCCTGCGTATTCAAGTTGAGAGGTGCAGGTATATGAGCGGAAGAATTGAGGGCGGATTTGGAGCGCCAGAGCGGAGCGAGGGGAAGGTGGAAGGGCGGTGGCCATTATGGAGAACATTTGCGGTGAGAATTTGAGAACGCCTGTTGGAGCCTGGGTGGATATCACGGAGGCGGCCTCCACAAACTCATGGATATTGTCAAGATTGAACATGAACATGGCGAATGCTAGTTGTGGGGTATGGGGTTTGATCAATTTCCTAATCTCTTAACCAATTCTGCGCCTTAATCTTGCCTTTCTTTTATACTAAACCTCATCTTCTTGGATCAAGAATCCTTTCGTTTTACCAATGGGTCCATGCGCAGGCTATGAGATCTCTGCCCCTCCCGATATCTACTGGTCTACTAGATATGATTTTAGAAATACATTGTTCTAAGAATGATTTTTTTTTTTTTTTTTAAAGTTATAATTGAAATTTTGTTTTTTGAGAATATTTTGATTAATTTATTTCGATATTTTTATTTTGTTAAATTAAATCGAGAAAAGGTAATGGTGGGGAGTGACTAAGCGATGGCGCCATTATTTATACATACTGTCTTTTGGGTCTTGGCTTCGCGACCGATTGTTTTTCCATTGCAATCTGATGTTCTTCGGCCCTTCTTCCGTATTGATCCTCAAGCTCCGTGTTTTTCTGTTTCTATTTTTTGTTTGGTAATTTATTCCTGAAATCTACATCCCTGATTCCGCAATGGGTGCGAGTCGAAAGCTTCAAGGGGAGATTGACCGAGTTCTTAAGAAGGTCCAAGAAGGGGTTGACGTCTTTGACAGCATTTGGAACAAGGTTTGTTTTCACCACACACTCTCTCGCTTCCGGGAATGGAGCTGGGCGTCTAATTTTGGAGCTCCGTCTTCTTACCTTTTCTTGTGTGCCTCACTTCTAGGTTTATGATACCGACAATTCCAATCAGAAGGAGAAGTTCGAGGCGGATTTGAAGAAGGAGATAAAGAAGCTTCAGAGGTACAGGGACCAAATTAAGACCTGGATTCAGTCCAGTGAGATTAAGGACAAGAAGGTCTCTCTCTCTCTCTCTCTCTCTTATTTCCTTAGTTCTCCAAGTTAGTGTGGTATCTGTGAGCTTTCAGTGGCACATTGACTCAAGAACGGCGATTGTTTTTTTTTTTCTCTTTTCTTTTCTTAATACAGTCAGTTCTTAGTAAACCTGACCTGAACCTTTCACTCGCACCAACATTTTATAATTGAGAATCGAAGTTCTTTTGGGCAGGGAGTGTGGCTGTAGAGCAATAGTAGGATTTTTAGAGGGGTGGAGAGATTTTTGGAGGAGGTGGTTCCATATTGAATTTTTTGTTATTATCGATTTGGTTGTATTCTTTTGGATTGGACTCCTTTCTGGTAGGCTACAGACTCCTTTTGTAGGCTTATTATTTTCATTTTTGTATGTCCTTGTACAATTGTCCATTTCTCTCCATTAAAGCTTGGTTTTTTATCTTAAAAAAACAATAGTAGTAATGAGAATAGGAGTCTGTTTTCGTTTTAGAGAGAAATCCAGAAGTTATCGCTTTGCTGACTGACATAGAAGAATCAGTGGAAGCAATAAATCTCATGCCAACAAAGACAATATGGGAAAGAAATTATTCTAAAAAGGTGAAGTTTTTCTTTTGGGAAATAGTGCATAAAGTCATTAGTACAAGTGAAAATCTATAAAAAAAAAGAACGCCTTACATGACTCTATTTTCAAATGGGTTCCTATTATGCAAGAAAGACAACGAATCATAAAGCCACTTATTTATGAAATGTCCATACGCTCTGAATTTCTGGATAAACCTTGGGAGTGTGTACCTTTTGAACATAGCTTATTTGAGTTGGAACGAATGGAGGATCCTACCTTGGACTCTATCCACCATGTTGAGACTATCCAGAACACCATGTTGGTCTTCCATATGGCTTTGGTCAATCTTTTATTAATAGTTTTTTTTTTCAGGGTTTTATCAATAGCAGTAAACCTAGAGTTTGGTTGGTTGGTTGAAGAAAGAGATCCTTGACCTTAGCTGTCCAGAAGTCGTTGCATATTATCCTGACCCAATTTTTGGCCAGAATTATCTGAAATGTTAACTATGAATGTGCTCCTTTGCTGCTTTAGCTAATGATCCAACGCAAAATCTGGCCACCCGTCACCTTTTTCTCCATAGAAAATCATAAAGAACTAGTGCTGCGGCTAACAGTTTCAACTTGAGTGAGCTTTGGACCCCCCAAGAGAGCTAGTCTTCAAGAAAATTAGTTTATGATCTGAAGTATTCCTCACTTTCCTTGAGAGCCTCACTTTCTGAAATGTTAAGAACCAACCTTCCTACTTCTAAGATTTGTGAAAAGTCATACCCAATTTATCTATGTGTCTTATTCTAATACCTTGTCTTGCTTAAGTATTCTGATCTCTAATTAATAATATCTGTGTTTTTATTCCACATGTAAAAAATTAGATTATACGTGTTGCAGCAATTTATTTGATTTATTTTTGTGAGCCAAGAGAGATATACAATATGGTTTATTATGAAATTTACATTTTTAATATAATTCTTGATGATGGGGACTAATTATTTCTATTTTGATATTTGTTGACACAGGTCAGTGCCTCTTATGAGCAGGCTTTGTTGGATGCTCGTAAACTTATTGAGCGCGAAATGGAAAGATTTAAGATTTGTGAAAAGGAGACGAAAACCAAAGCCTTCTCGAAAGAAGGTTTGGGTCAACAGCCTAAAACTGTATGTCCTTAAACTCTATTCAATTTCTCTTTGAGCTTAAATCAATTGACAGCTTGCTAAACATGTTTATAAAAAAATTTCCTCCATGCTTATATATGTCCGGGTGCTTGTCCCATTAATCGTTTGCAATTATCTTCTTGAGATTTGGTTTGAAAAAAATAGGATTTTTTTTTTTTTGAAGATATGTTCCTGATTGGCTGGATCATTTTGGATTCATCAAGATCTAAGCTTCTCGTTGGTGTTTTTTATCTTAAGTTTCTGTTGGCTATTTTCTTAATGATATTTGTATTATTTGGGTTTTCATATGAGTTTTTTAGGGGCAATGATCAGCTTTCCATGGTTTATATATATATATCATTGAATTTTTGTATTCCGTAGCTTTTAAATCTGTGACACTCGAGTAAAGGAGAGATACATAAATGAACTGAGATCACAATTGAATGAGAGTGATTCTGAGGATAGGATGCTTGAGAAAAGCTCAAAAGAATTGAAGTTACTACCTATTTACTTTTCTTTTCAGTAGCTCAATCATAAAAACTCCAAGTAAAGCGTGCTTTGTTTGGAGCAATCTTATGTGGGGTGACCTCTTGGAAATTGAAGCATGGGAGTGAGGATAAAACATGTTGAAAGGACTCGTGTTAGTTTGTGGGGATAGTAGTCTTCACTTTTCAAAGTGACAAGTAGGTAGCGTGATCATGTCATAGGGAATGCATGGGAATGTTGATATAATGAGGTGTCGAATCCAAATTCCAAATCTTGGGCATGAGGCGTTACACAATCATTAATGAAAAGTTCTGTTTATTGTTCAAAACAAATGTCTATCTACTGTTTTTGCTATCCAAAAGATGGTTGTTCTTAGTCAGGTGATCCCACTGTAAGGTTCCTGTCCATTATTTTTTCAAGAAAATTCATGGATACACTTGCGTGCAACTCAAAACTGAAACAGTCTCATATGCATTTTCTGAACTATTTTGGGTTTTTGTTCAGGATCAAACTAGTAATTTCTTCTTTGCTTGGTATAAAGAGCCAAAATTTTAACGGGAGTGGACGGGAAATGCAGAAATACAATTGCAAATAAAAATAGGCTAATATAAAAATGTGTTCTATGTCTAAGGGGCCTTCCAAAGTCTATCGGTGACCCAGTTGCAATATTCCAGAATGAGGTTATGTCCTCCTAACAAAGGTTTCTTTTTAACGGGTGTTATCTTTATTTTCATTAAAGGATAAGGGGATGTGTTCTTGATGCCAAATTTTCTATTTTCATTAATGAAAAGACCTAGGAAAAGAATCCAAGCTTCAAGGAGGTTTATGTTAAGGTGATTCACTCTTACACTTTATTTTCCTATTGGTTGGTGGTGTGATGAGTAGCATGTTAGATCATATTTACCGAAAGGATCTTTTAAGGTTTTGTGGGCAATGGTTGAGTTGATATTTCTTACCTGCGATTTGCTGATACCTGATGATACTTTGTTGTTTTGTAAATACTATGACGGTTTGTTGAATTCTTGATTGATACAATTGGAGCATTTAAATGGCTTTCAAACTGGAAAGTTAATTGGGACAAATCAATGTTTTGTGGTATTAGTATCGATCTTTCTACACTTGATTATATGGCAGCAAGACTTATGTTAAATTGGAGTCATTACCAGTTTCTTATTCAAGAATGCCGGGGGGTGGTAATCTGATATGTTCAGAATTCTGGTCTCCTATTGTTGAAAAGGTTTCAAAGAAATTGGTTAAATGGAAAAAATTCCAGCTTTCTTGTGGTGGAGGTTTGACATTATGCAACTCGGTTCCTTCCAACATTCCTATATGTGATTTAAAATTTTTCCAATTTCCTTCCAATGTATGTTCTCAATTAGAAAAGGCTGAGTAAATTCTTTTGGGAAGGCAATGCTGGTGACAAGTTTAATCGTTTGACTCACTGGAATATAGTTTCTCAATTGATGGATCATGGTGGGCTTGACACTGGAGGTCTGAGTTAGAAAAATATTGCAATTCTAGCAAAATGGGAGCAGAGATTCTGTCATGAGCATTCTGCTTTATGGAGAAAGGTGGCGGCTAGTATTTATGGGACTGATTTCTTTGATTGGCATTCAATCTGCAAGATTAATGGTTGACTTAGATGCCCTTGGAATAATATTTATAAGCAATCGAGATTGGTGGAAAATTTCTCCCTTTTCAAGGCTGGCAATGGGTAAAGATTTTTCTTTCAGCATGATGATTGGCTTGGGTAATATTCTTTGAAATTATCTTATACAAATTTGTTGAAGGTGGTTTCTTACCTTCTTAGTTCGGTTAATGGCAATTGGGGTTCTGCTCTTTTTTCGTGGAAGCTGGAAACTAGATGAAGTTTGAAGGAATTTGAATTGTGAATATTGATTACTGCTGTCTTCTTTGAGTTCAGTGAGATTACAGGCTAAAGAAGATCAAATTTGTTGGAAAATCGACCCCTCTGGATTATTTCCTATAAGATCTTTGACAAAGCATCAAATATCTCATCCTCCTTTGAAAAGTTAGTGTCTTGGCATGGATCATGTTCAATGGCCATCTCAATACGATTGATTTGCTCCCAAAACAGCTTCCATCTTCAGCCTTGCAGGCCTCTCTGTGTGTTTTATGTTTTGCAGATAATGGAAGGCAGGATCACGTCTTCCTTCATTGTTGAAATACAATGGAGCGTTGGTTATTTATTTATTTAATATGTTCAAATCTTTATTGGGTTTTCTCAAAGGATTTAAGGAGCAACTTACTTCAGTTTCTTTATGGGCCGATCTTATCATCTCAAGGTCCCTTCTACGGATCGATGCCATAAAGTCTATTTTTAGAAGGTTATGGTTATCTACATATTTTTCAGGATAAGAGTAAGCCTTGGTTAGAGCATTATGATATTGCTAGTTTAAGGCCTCTCATTGGTTCCCACTTTCTAATTTGTAATATTTGTATTAATTTGAGTGCTTTTATTCAATCTTCTTAGATTTCTTTGTTTTCTTTTTGTTTTTTTTTCCTTCTCTTTCTAGGAGTTTGTATCTTGAATATTTTTTCTTTATAGAATAAATGAAAATTTTGGTTCTTGCTAAAAAAACACCTATCAGTGTTGTAATTATTATATTTTAGCTATACATTTTTCAAATTTGGTCTGTCGGCTTCTTGGTTTTGGGTTTAGTTTCCTCTTTTCAGCTTCTATCCCAGTGTCATTTTCAGAAATATTGGCAGTTTTCTATGTTATGGGCTATATATTTGTTATTTTATCTATAACCTTATTGGTTTTGGACTTCCTATCTCTGTCAGCAATGGAAATTGGTCCTCTTGTTTTTCAACCAACTTTCTTTTAACGGGCTCGGAAAAAAATTCTAGTTGTTTTATCAGTTCATTTACAAATAACTTGTAAATAGTAGCTCTGCCTACACGTGAAAGTTGTGTTTATTATTTTTATTGTTGGTTCTAATGAAGCTTCTCTTTGGTTTTCAAATATAGGACCCAAAGGAGAAAGCTAAATCAGAGACACGAGATTGGTTGAACAATTTGGTATGAAAGTCCCCTTGTACAGAACCTCCGTAGACTCTACTTCTATATTGGAGAACAATGTACTTTCTTCAAGAATCAGCATGCTGTTCTTTGTTGCAATGGTTGAGTTTCCAGATTTCTGGAAAAATATATTTTTTGATAAGAAATCAAAACTTATGTAATTATGGCTTGATGCAAATTTAGCCTGACTAGGAAATGTTTTTTTATCCCTTTGTGTGGTGGGGAAATCTTGTCTCCCTTCCTTTGTACTCCCATTGATAATGAAATGTTTGTTTTGTATTTAAAAAAAAAAAATTGTTCACTAAAAAGGTACATTAAACCCACACATCTAATCAAAATCTTAGCCCTAATCTGAGTTCAACTCACTTTGTTTTGGCATCTTCCTTAATATATCTGTTTTACGTGACTAGTCTTTTGACCACTATAGTCTCTCTTTCTTCAGTTCGTTGACATTCCAACTTATCAGCTTCAATTCATTGGACCTTTCCCACCCTAGAAGAGGTGTATGTGGAAGTAATAAGATAGTTTATTACGGGGGAGAAGGTTTTGTATGAATGTGGGAGTTTCCTACCAGTTATTTGGGTAAATTTAGTATACATGGTAGGAAGTTAGAAAGCTTAGGGCAGTTATTTCTTTTATGTTTTTGTGGATAGACCAGACTCTTGAAAGTCTAGAACCCTATGCAAAACTTTTCTTTTGTTGTTTATCCTTGGTAGGAGAAAGAAAAACTCTGTCCAATTGCTTAACAGGCACTTAATGTTTTTATCCTGGTCAGGTTAGTGAGTTGGAATCTCAGATTGATAATTTTGAAGCTGAGATGGAGGGTCTATCTGTGAAGAAAGGAAAATCAAGGCCACCTAGATTGGTAAGTGGTATTATGCTCTGCATTTTCTAAACTGATATGTTGTTCTCTCCTAGAACTTTGGGTTTATAATTATCTGTCCGTTCTGTTGTTACAGATTCATCTGGAAACTTCTATTACTCGGCACAAGGCTCATATAATGAAGCTGGAACTAATCTTGAGACTGCTTGATAATGATGAATTGAGTCATGAGGATGTCAACGATGTCAGGGAGTTTTTAGAAGACTATGTGGAAAGGAATCAGGTTATTACTCCTTACATCTCTTTTTGCAATCGAATTGTGTTGTATGCCTGCATTGTACTCTCACTCCTTTTGATAAGAAAGCAACAATAATTAAGATGATGAAGGGGTAAAGGGGGCTTGTGTAAAAGAACGACCCAGACAATGAAGCAAACAAAAATGATAGCCAATTACAAGAGATTTTGCTCTTATTAATGATAATTAAAAATAAAGCATCATTACAAAACTCTAAAGATGAGGAACCACTTGGGGAGGCAATGGATTGAGCTGCATTCAAGCCTCTAGACTTCTCAGAATTTATATAGTCTCCTATCTTGAGCCAAATATTCTGTAGGATAATACTAAGTCCTCTCTTGTTGGTTTGCAATTGGGATGCTATTATTGACTTTCTGTTGTTATTATTATTATTATTATTTTAAGTTCAAACCCACATGAGTTGGTTTCATGGACATTAAGATATGTGCAAAAAAGTAAAAAAGTAAGAGACTTTTTGGGGGATGTATTTAAGCCCTATGGTGGTCACCTAATTGGAAGATAACTTTTTGGATGTTTTTATTCCTCATCCTAGTCATATTTCTGCTGATTTTACTAATCATTTTTGAGCTCTTACTAGTCCATTGCAATGTACTCGTCCTTCGATGCCAAGTATAGAAATTTATTAATTAGAGGGAGAAATATTGCTGAATAGTTCTACCAATCAAGTTCTTGAGTTGAAGTTTTATACTAGAAGAAAATCCAATCAAAGGAACCAAAACCAAATAGTTGATCCTTCTCCGAGCCTATTTGAGACTAAATAATTAAATTGAAAAGTTTGGTAACCCATCTTTTGATCCTACTCCTCAACTATTCAAAATATTGAACCAATCATGTCTGATGTTGATGATCCCATAACCGTTAGAAAAACATATTGAAAGATGTACAAAATATCCTATCACAAACTACCATTTATTTCAAATTTTTTCAAATAGTCCTAAAGCTTTCACATCTAGGATAAAGAATTTATTTGTTTCAAGGAATATGCATGAAGCTCTAAATGATTCGCATTGAAAACTAGCAGAGATATGGAGGATATGATGAATGCTCTAAAGCAAATTAATTCTTTAAGAATAGCAGAGTTGCTTGAAGATAAGAAACTTGCGGGATGTATAAGTGTTCACCATAAAATATAAAGCTGGTGTTAATATTGAGTGAAAAGATGAGACTGCTATCTAAAAGAGGTTTTCATGAGCTTATTAATAGGTTATGATACGGGTGTTCCAAAACCGAGCCTAACCAACAATATATTTTCTTGTTTCCTACCAGAAACAAAGGACTATGCCAATAGTGTTAATCATATCAGTATTATAATTTATTTGGCTTATTAAAAAAAAAAAGGAAGAGAAAAAAAAGTACTTGCAATTGGTCTTCTGTTATTATCAGTTAGCCTTTGTTCTTTTCAATTGGAGTCTCTTTCTATATATCTTGGACTATCTTTTTTGTATGCTCTTGTATAATCTTTTATATTTCTCAATGGATGCTCGATTGTTTATAATGTTTTTTTATATTTGGCTTGCGGATTTTGAGTTTTATTACTTTAATAATAAATGCAAATCTTATAGTCTTATGTTGACTACCTATCTAAGAGGTTAATAAGTTTTTTTTTTTTAAATAACCAAATGTTGTAAGGTTAGGTTGTTGCCTTATTAAACTGATTGAAATTTACTTGTGGTGTGTGTAAGCTGGTCTTAACATTTACATATATTAAAAAAATCTTAATTATAGAAGGGATTAGAAATGATACCCATGTAGAAGTATCATGTAATAATTTAGAACTATTCATAAATATAGCTTGATATATTTGCAAATACATTTTTATGTGTTTTTATCTGGACTGATATTGTTCATTTAACTATCAGCACCATTGAAACTGGATACTTTTATGCCTTCATTCCAATTGATTGCGTTCATATGACTATATTTCAGTTCATGAAAATATCAAACTCACATTAGCCATTGACATCTCAAAAACTGTCTATATAGGAGGATTTTGATGAATTCAGTGATGTGGATGATCTTTACAGCTCATTGCCACTCGATAAGGTGGAATCCCTTGAAGATCTGGGTACAATTTGCCCTCCTAGCCTTGTGAAGGTATGGATTTTTCCTCCCCCTGCTCCATATCAAGTTGACCAAACATAATAATACATGTTTTGCTGTTAACTTGAATTGTAAGTTTATTTATTTATTCTTATTTTGTTTTATTTTATTTAATTTTAAATTGGGGGGTGTTGGAATTGCAGAGCCTTCATGTCACCTATGAAGACACCTTTAACCCATGGATAGTCTTTCCCTTATATATGTTAGTTTGAATATTTGATGAGAGGTTATGTATTACGGCTTGGTCTTTATCCCTTATATATGCTACTTCGTAAAAAATCCCTTGTGGGTCTCAGTGGTCTTCATCCTCCCAATTTGTCTAGTCTTTGTTTTATCTCAGTTTGATTGTTTCGTCTTCTTTGATGTAATGGTAGTAAGAGTTGGTGTATCAACGGATGGGTCTTTTGTGGAAGGAATGAACAACAAACATAAGATTTCTCTTTCTTTCACTCTCGTACATTGGTGTGAATGTTCCTTGGTTGAACTATTGCAATGTCCAGTAAACTTGTTTTTTTTTACAAGAAATTTAGGGAGGGGTTTGGGGCCATTTGATTGTCCAAGTTTCGATCATCCCTCGGTTGGCACTTTGAATATACCAAATTTCTTGGATTTATATCATTTACACCAAGGCATGGAAGATTTAGGAGCTTTTAAAATGATTGATGTAGAAATTTATCAAACACCAGCCTTATTACCAGAGAGGGGAGACAGTATCCTTTGAAATAGGGTTCGGTGCTTTTAATGGGACTAGTCTGCTATAATAGAGCAAGTTCTTAGGGAAATGGTTGTCTTCAATAATAAAACTCGTTGTGAACTGTCTGCCCTAAATTAACGAGCCTATTATTGATGCTTCTGTTGCTCAATGTTGTTCAATCCTCCCCAAGCAGCCCAATCGAGATTACAGAGTCCTCTCTTAAGGCTCCCATTAAATCTCAGTGTTAAAAGAAGTTAAAAGTCGTTGCATTGAAACTTATCCCTTATCCTATACTTGAAGAAGAGAGCCCCTCATTTCTTCTCATTGACTCATCAAGGTTAATACTATGGATCCTGATTTAATTGAAGAAAATTGTTCACGAGTTTTGGACAAAGGCCAATAAGCGTCTATATTCACATATACTATCACATAGGCCACTTCTTTTGGAGATGCAAGGTTCTTGTATGATCCAAAGAAGGCATATAGAAAAGAATTTGATCTCAAGACATCAGCCTGAGGAGCCTATTAAATTATTTTGTTTTTGATAAAAATAAGTTGAAAATTTAGTATCTAAATTGATATGTTGTCTTTTGGCAGGGTACAACAGCTCTCAGCTTGAAGACTACTTTGGCAACAACGGGAACTCAAGTGCCTGTACGTCCTTCTATTAATATTTATATAGCAGAGACATTTTTTTTTTTTTTTTTTTTTTTCAACTGATATTATAAAGGATTTAGATGAACCTGCAGACTTCATTTTAATGAACTTTTTGTACTTGAGATTTCTTCATGATGAACATTCTGCTTTATTTGATGCATGATCCTTGAAACAATTTTAGGGCATCTGGACAAGGACGGAATTATGGAATTCTATTATAATCCTGTAATTTGTATTCTTGTTCTTTTTGGCAGTTCAATGACGTGCTTTTTTCCTTTGTATGATCAGAAAATATGAGCGTGGTTAACTGTAGAATTCTGTAAGGCATGATGGGATTAGTTTTTTGTAATGTCCATTGTATTCCTTTTTATTTGTTGTCATGTCAATGAGATCTTACTTTTTGATATTGAATTGGGTTCTCAATTCAAATTATTGCTAATATATTGCGAGGCTAATTAATGTTCTTATTCAATTTGCTTTAGTTTTAGGAGATGTGTTATTGATAAAGTTCTACTTTGGTCGAAGTCTTGGAAAATTTTCATAGATCTGTATCTTGAATTTAGATCTTTGATTGTCTTGTAGAGAGAACCTTTTAGGATTTGCATGTAAATTAACGAGATACAAGCTGTTTGAGTTGGAATCAAATGCAATAACTGCCTTTTCTACTGTACCTTGGGATAAAAAAAGAATACTAACACATTTTAGTCCCTTGTTTGTCCTAATTGTCACCATGTAGTTGCTACAGTACGTTAGTAATGTATGCTAATTTTCCAGGTTACTGTTGCTCCTAATCATCAACCAAATACTGTCACTCAGGATCAGGTTGATGATTCAACTTTGCCAGATGGTAACACTGATACTCTTTTGAAGACCCCACCTCCTAAGAATAGTGTCCTTGGTTCTTCTGCTGCTACAACACCTACCGGGAACCATGCAGCCTCAACTTCCTTGAATGGTGCAGTGCATGGGTCTGGCTTGTCCGCTACATCAGCCATTCTTCCAGGTTCAAGTTCTGTTCGTGCTGTGGAGGCTACGGGTGCTCCTAATTCATCTCCGGTAAATATGCCCACTTCTGCAAAGGATGAAGAAATTGCTAGCTTCCCAGGCCGTAAATTGTCTCCATCATTTGCGGATACTGGACTTGTAAGGGGTGGCATGGGAAGAGGTGTCACTGCTAATCAACCAGCCTCTAGTTCCACCCATACTTCTGGTATTGTGGTTCCTAGCACTATAACTCTCGGTAACGTTTCTTCTGCCTCTGAAGTCACAAAGAGAAACATTTTGGGATCTGAAGAACGGGCTGGTAACAGTGGCTTGGTGCAGTCTATGGTTTCTCCTTTAAGTAATAGAATGGTTTTGCCTACAGCAGCTAAACCTAGTGATGGAACGAGCTCAGTTGATCCTAGCAATGTTAGTGATGCAGCGGCTATAGGAAGTCGAGTTTTCTCTCCAGTGGTTCCTAGCATGCAGTGGAGGCCAGGAAGTTCTTTTCAAAATCCGAATGAAGGAGTATGATACTTGCTACTAGTTCATTCAAAACTGAGCTAGTGGATTCTTATTAATGAGGATTATCTAATTACTGATGATTAATGGAAAATTTTAAGATATATTCAAATCATTTGTTGGGTTGATAATGAATTGATCTATTGAGGATGAAGTATTACTTAGTTATATGTTTTAGTAAAAATTTAATAAAAATAATTGTAGCTGCTGGTCTTCTTTCCTTGAGATCAAAGGTTCAAATCCTCACTCCCATACTCGTAATAATAAAATAGTAAAAGAAAAGAAAAGAAAAGATAAGATAAGGTAATTTGAGCTTAGGTGATTGTTTCAAGTTTGTTCAGAACCTTGGTTCTTTCTTTTATAAACTATTCGTATGAATTTAGTGGTAAATGGTTTAATTCCTGATGACTTAATCATATCTTATATCCCACATTCTTCGATGCGAAATACTAGCTCGAGCATCTTCATTATTACTGGCCTATTCCCAAGAAAATCTATAAAATGTTTCCTGATGTGGTTAATTCCAGATGATTTAATCATTTCTTATATCCCATTTTCTTCGAGGCAAAATACTTGCATTAGAATAATCTGCTCAAGTACCTTCAGTTTTAATCTGTTTTATTACTGCCCTTTTCCCAAGTTAATCTATAGCTTTTCTTTCTTATGTAGTTATCCATTTCTTCTTCAGGGACAATTCCGTGGAAGAGCTGAAATAGCGCCTGATCAGAGAGAGAAGTTCTTGCAGCGTCTGCAGCAAGTTCAGCAACAGGGTCATAGTACACTTCTTAGCATGAATCTTGGTGGAGGGAACAACAAACAATTTTCTTCGCAACAGCAAAGTTCACTTCTACAGCAGGTTTTCTTATTCATAATTTTTAGCCTTCTTTATTCGTAATTTATAGCCTTTTTCTTCACTACAGCTGCTTTGTGCCTTTTATTCCTTTTATTTGGGTGGGGGTAATGATATGTTGAATAAGAATAGAGTACAAACTTCATACATTCTATTGAGTATTGACTTGCTCTTTTCACGAGTATAAAAATTCTAAGAACACGAATTTTTCCTTCATAATATCACAATGATTTACCAAGCCATCTAACTCACCCTCAAGTGAATTCTTGATTTGAATATACAATATAGCATCATCACAAACCCAAGCCTTCTTTGTGTTTTCCTTTGGCGTATCCTAATCAATATAATCATCAATCTTAGTGTCTTGTTGATAAAATCGAATCGTGTTACTCCATTCATAATAATCATAATAATTATAATAATTGGAGCCATTTAACTTATGCTTCACAATCTTTGACGAAGGGGGAACTATCTTAAATGCTATCACAAGTTTCATTTCAACCGTTGGTTACACAAACAATCAGTAGCCAAACCTTAAGAGAAACAAAAAACCAGGCCTGAACTGCAAGAATGTGAAGTAGGTATTATTGAACCCAACCACACAGAACAACCGCAAAACTAAACATGAGACAAACCAGGGCGACAAAAGGTGGAACATAGCTCTCATGCGCCGCTAGCAGCGGCGCATGGAGAATACATGGTTGCTTTGGCTGTTGAATTCTGGGGTTTGATAAATCAATAGTGGCAGACACTGGCAGCGGCTGAGGTAGGTGTTGACTAGAAGTAAATTCACAAAATCAAAGATGAAAACAATACATCTAACTTCCAAACTCTAAAGGCTCCCAAAAACCTAATGGTTAACAAACCCGTAATTGCACTTCCAAAATTTTATACATTTATTGTTTTGTCCTAAAATAGTCTATTTAGCATATTTAACAAGTGTTCAATATATGTCTAACAAATGTTGGACCTATATTGACTTTGTACAACTAGTACTTTTTAACATGTATCTATTGTGTTAATAAGTGTTTGTAATGTGTCCAACAAGTGTTAGAGTGTCCGAGTGTTCTACACATGTCAAAAACAAACATGCCAACCAAACTTAAGTGTCCATACTTTCTAAATTATGCCCAAGGTAGACAACATTATACCAGCGTGGAGATGGGTGGAAGTTCCATAGTCCTCTACATTTGCCAACTTGAGCTTAGCTCAAATAGTTAAGACATTTATCCTCTACCAGGTAAAGATTCAAATCCAGCGTGTCATTGAAAAATTGAAGTTGGCCTGTGCATTACACCATAATACAAAGGGGACCTTTTTTTATGTACAGGTTTTTTTTGTGAATATTTCTGCTTGGTGATCACTATGTTCAGTCTATCCATAGTTTGGCATTGTTAAATAAATAGTACCAATGATTTGGTTTTCTGTATTTGCAGTTCAACTCCCAAAATTCATCTGTTAGTTCTCAAGCTGGTCTGGGAATTGGAGTTCAAGCACCAGGAGTTAATGTTGTTACATCTGGTTCATTACAGCAGCAGCCAAGTTCCTTCCAGCAGTCTAATCAGCAGGCATTACTGACAAGTGGGGCAAAAGAATCTGGTACGGTCTGGATTCTTGTCTTCATATACCAATGTGTTAATGTTTCTCTATCCCTATGGGTTGTCCTTCATATTCAATTTCTTCATGGGTGAGGAGTGGGCACAATTTCATTCATGGTGTCCCAATGTAATTATCTTGGAATTGGACATCACATATAAATGCATATTTTTATTTGACCCTCCTACACAGATTAATTACATGAAGGGCAAAAACATGGAGCCTTGAGAAATCTAGAATTTCTTTCTTGCAAACATATGTCAATGCTCACTAAATCAATAGACACTTTAGCTCATATTCATATTCACACATTCTTATATTAAACCAGATGACATAAGGTTGTGGCTGAATAGGAATAAAAGAAATTTTCAGGAAACTGAAGTTTCTTAATGATACTTTTCAGGACATGGTAGTTCCTTGAGCTTTAAAATTGAAACTCTTCTTACAATTCATCTTAAATGTATGAAAAGTTGGAATGTTAATTCTGCTAACTTGGATGCATTGTAATCTCGTAAGTTCTTTTCAGAACTTTATGTCCTTCCTTTTCTATTCTTTATTACGTTGGATACGCAAACTCATAAACCAAAATATCCTCTTTAAGTTCTTCTGTTTGTTGCCATTTGGAACCTTAAAATTTTCCTAGTCCAATAACTTCAATTTTCCTAATGGTCCTTGTTCCTGCTAAAATTCCTATTGAAATCAAATTAAGAATTCAGATTGTCACTAAGAAGCACTCTTGCAAAAATATTTATCGAGTGCATAGAACATTTCTTCTGAAGGTGTTTCCTTTTTTTTTTTTTTGGTAAGAAATGCATGGGTCTCGTTTACGATTCAACAAATGAGATACTTGGTAACCAAAATGTTTACGTTCTCTCATAGAATTACATAAACAAGACTGACAATTAATTCTTGTGTAATGCAGATGTTGCCCCTGTAAAAGTTGAAGAGCAGCAGCAGCCACAGCAGCAACAGAGTTTACCTGAAGATACTACTACTGATTCTGCTGCTGGTTCTGTCCTTGGAAAGAATCTGATGAGCGACGATGATTTAAAAGGCGCATATCCAGTTGATACTCCAGTATGTGTTATTTCTTGTCTATTGTAATCATAGTTGCTTCAGTACACTAATCTTTCCTTGTCAAACAGGTTGTTGAATGTGTTAAGTGTTCTAAAATATTTCTCATTGGATGGGAAAGGATGCCGAGAGAATAATTTTTTTTAAAAAAAATTCTTCGATGATACAATGATATGCCCACAAATTCCATTTTTGTTTAAGAAACATGGCAGTTCATTAGATTATTGGAATATATCAAGGGAAGAAAGGGAACCCCCACAACTATATGAAGTCAGTATTTTCAAAGCGTGTGGCGCATTCTAAGGTGACAAATCTCTTAGTCGCCTTGGGATGAAAACAACAGAAAGAGTGTCAGTGTCACAAGCATACGAGAAGAGTTTTTTTTTATTAAATTATTTGTTTTAGAAAAACTGTACTTTATTGCTTGATAACCAAAACTGTACTTTATTATTTGTTGTAGGTTGGCGTACCTGTTTCATTGACTGAGACTGCTTCAGTGTCGAGAGAGGATGACCTTTCTCCAGGTCAACCTTTACAGCATGGTCAACCTTCTAAAAGTCTTGGTGTCATTGGCCGAAGAAGTGTTTCTGACTTAGGTGCCATTGGTGATAACCTCGGTGGATCCTCGTTGACTACTAGCGGAATGCATGATCAATTCCATAATTTGCAAATGCTTGAGGCTGCATTCTACAAGCTACCTCAGCCAAAAGACTCAGAGCGTCCGAGGAGCTACACTCCAGTTCAGATACAAAATCTCTTTGTCCTATGACTGTATTCTATATATACATATACTTTTTTAAATTTTTTTTTTTTGTCTGAAATTATTTCATCTACAGAGGCACCCTGCAGTTACTCCTCCGAGCTATCCTCAAGTGCAGGCACCTATTATAAACAATCCTGCTTTATGGGACCGATTAGGTCTTGAGACCTATGGCACTGACACATTGTTCTTTGCATTTTACTATCAACCGGTATTACTTTTATCTTTTTATGTAATGCTGTATTTCTTTGACATCCAGTCTAATCATGTGCTGAACTGCAGAACACCTATCAACAATATTTGGCTGCTAGAGAATTAAAGAAGCAATCTTGGAGATATCACAGAAAATATCAGACATGGTTCCAAAGACATGAAGAGCCAAAAGTTGCTACAGATGAATATGAGCAGGGAACTTATGTGTACTTCGATTTCCATTTTAATAACGATGATCTACAACATGGATGGTATGTTTACTTGTTAATCTTCTCGTCAATTTTTCTGTTTGCTACCTCATCTCTTGTTGGCTTTTTGTAAACTGGATCTTGGATGATCTGAAGAAATAATTTGTTGTTGAGGATCTTAGAAAATCTTTTAGATCGCAGAACACAATATACATCTACACACCTCAAATTATGTACTACTATTAACTATATTTGAATTATTTTTGTACTGTAGGTGCCAAAGGATTAAAACAGAGTTCACTTTTGAGTATAACTACCTTGAAGATGAACTCAACATATAGAGGATGTATGGCAGTGATCAAGTGATTCTAAGCTTTCCCAGGTTTCAAAATTTCCGCCATCTTTTTGAAGTTCTAACTCTTTTCCTGTTTTACAGAAACTAGAGATAAAAATGTATCCGTAGCTTGCCAACTTGTTGTATTAAATATACTGGGCAATGGGTAAAAAGAACGGAAGTCTGCACATTATAATCTTTGGTGAAGTCTCATTTCTTGTCCAGATGCTTGAGTTCTTTTCACTGATTTGAGATAAACTTTTGATAGCATGAAGGGGTCTGTTCTATCATCTTTATTTGTCATTTTCAGGTTCCATATCAGGCAAGGTTGATTTAGTCTTTTTACTTCCCATTCCCTTTTTAATTGTAAAGGAGACATGATACATGTTGAGTTATAAAGATAAGATATTAGCATGCGTTCCCTTGTATTATGTATTTTTCTCATAACTGACCTTTACAAAGTCCAGGAGAAAATGAGTTAAAATCTCCACCTTGGCAACTTATCTGAATCATTTTGAATGAATTTGTTTTTGAAGATCCTTACTTCCAGTCATGAATGTTCACGAGTAAAAGCAGCCGTGTGTTAAGAAGCATGTGCCTATCATGTGAATACATGGGGCCTTCACCCTTTTCACAGATACCTCAACTTTTTGGTGCAAGGATGGGAAAGCATGGAGGAGTCTTGCTTTCTGGTACGGTTTACGTTAAATTACAAACTCGGTCCCCATGGTTTAAGATCAGATTTTTCGTTTCCCTTATAACTTTGAATAGGATAAATTAACGTCGAACTGAAATGGAGCTTTATTGTTTTGAGCTACCGCTAGCAAATATTGTTATGGATTAGAATGTAACGATCTAGGTCCATCGCTAGCAAATATTGTTCTGGGCTTTCCCTTTCGGGCTTCCCCTCAAAGTCTTTAAAACTCGTCTGCTAGGCTAAGGTTGTCATGCCCTTGTAAATGGTGGTTTGTTCTCCTTCTCGACCAATGTGAGCATCACATATGAGAGGGGCGAGGATTTGAATATTTTAGCTTTTAAATAAGTTTTATTTATATATACTTCTTCCCCTCTGTCTCTCTCTCTCTCACGTGCAATTTTATATTGAAATGAAATCCATCAGAAAAATTATATAATGTATAAATACATTCACTTAGAATTTATGTCGGCGACCGACCACCATATATAGGCGCATGTGAAAGGACGATTACGCCCCTGAGGTTTTGAATGGTCGTTCCCTTATTGGTGCCACGTCACCCATTTTCTTCAAAATCTTACGGCTGGTTTGTGTTTTAAAGTAAAATACAAAAAAAGTGGGGTTCCTTTCCTTTTCTTCCTCCCCAATCACATTTATTCATTTCTTTCCTTTAATTTGTTTATTTATTTATTATTTTTTCTTGATGTAATACTTTGTGCTATAATAAAATAATAATATTAACGTGTGGTTTTAGATTTAAATTTTGTTATTGTCGAACTTGGGACAAAGATATCTATCTGTCATTTACGTGCCAACAACAATAAAATTTGACATAGTCAATAAAATTTTATTTAACACGAGAGGTTAAAAGATAAGAAGATAATGAAATTTTTTTTAATATTTCTTTGGATTAGATGAAGTAGACAAAATTGGGTGAAAATATGTAGGGAAAGTGATTAATGTAGAGTGGGGCAATAAGAAATGAAATGAATAAAAGGTAATAAATTTAAAAGGAAATGCGTAGTTAGGAAGCATGTTTGTTATAAGAACGAAAATGAAATGTGTATTTTAGTTTTGGGTGTAACGTAAATGAAACCCCAAATACAGTAACCGGTAGAGGAAGAGAGAGAGAGAGAGGCCTTGCAGAGGCATTGGTGGTTACTGAGGAAGAGAGAGGCGTTGCAGACCCATTGGTGGTTACTGAGGAAGAGAGAGAGAGAGGCGTTGCAGACCCATTGGTTCACCACTTGCTTTCCAACGCTATTTGGTTTTCAATTTCGATTCTTCCTCTCTCAATTCTAACCGTTGGGGGTTGGCCCCATTTACCTTATACTCGCCCACATCTTTGAATTTGCCTCCTCCTCCTCCTTCCCACTCTCCACTTCCTCTGCATCACGTCTTTCAAAACCCACATTACATTCCTTCCTCTCTGCTTCTTTCGTTTCTGGGCTTCTTCTGTTTCTCTCTACATTTCTCTCTCTTTGCTCTGTATTTCCCTGGATCTTCGGTTCTACCAAGCCCCCATCGACAACAAATTACTGCAAAGGGATAAACTTGGTTTTTTTTGTTTTTCAACCCATTTCCATAATCTATACTTTCATTTTCTCTCCTTTTCAACTTCATCTGGGATTGGCGTGTGAGAGGTAGGAGGACAATGGGGGGAAGATTAGGGTTTCTGAAGTGGGTTCTTTTGATTGGGGTTTTGGGTTGCTGTGTGGAAGGTCTTGGGGTTAACTGGGGAACCATGGCCAATCATAAATTGCCACCCAAGACCATTGTGCGGATGTTGAAGGATAATGGGATTCAGAAAGTGAAGCTTTTTGATGCGGATCAGTCCACCATGGGAGCTCTGGCTGGGACTGGTATCGAGGTCATGGTTGCTATTCCCAATGATCAACTCTCCGCCATGGGAGACTACAAGCGAGCCCAGAAATGGGTGCAGAGGAACGTCACCCGTTACAACTTTGACGGGGGAGTTACCATCAAGTAATTCATTTCCTTCTCTCTCTATAATACAAAATTTATTGTGTTCGTTCCCATGCTTCTGATTTATTTTTGAACCGATTCCTGATCTGTTTTCTCTTTGGATCTTCCAAATCTCATCCCAACCTTCATAATCCTGTTTGCATGTAGTTGGTTAACTTTGCAATCATGGGGGATGCTTTGGACTTATTTATTCATTACCAATCTGAGATTGATGATTTTGTCTTGGGGTTTATGAGCAGAAGATTTAACACTTCTTTGCTATGCTGTTCTTGTTCAGATACGTTGCTGTTGGCAATGAACCATTTCTGTCATCCTACAATGGATCATTCTTGAATGTTACCCTTCCAGCCCTTCAAAACATTCAAAATGCACTCAATGAAGCAGGTCTTGGACAGTCCATCAAGGCAACGGTGCCCTTAAATGCTGATGTCTACAACTCCCCGAGTAATAGCTCGTATCCCTCAGCTGGTAGGTTTCGTAGTGATATTAATGGACTCATGACTGAAATTGTCCAGTTTCTAAGCAAAAACAATGCACCTTTTACTGTAAACATTTACCCTTTCCTTAGTCTTTATGGCAACGCCGACTTCCCTTTCGACTATGCCTTCTTTGATGGTGCAAGTAATCCTTTACTTGATGCTGGCACTGGGATTCAGTACCACAATGTTTTTGATGCAAACTTCGATACCTTGGTTTCATCTCTGAAAGCTGTTGGATTTGGCGACATGCCGATTCTAGTTGGCGAGGTCGGATGGCCAACCGATGGTGACAAGAACGCCAATGCTGCCAATGCTTATAGATTCTACAATGGCCTTCTACCAAGGCTTGCAGGCAATAAGGGCACCCCTTTAAGGCCTGGATTCATTGAAGTATACTTGTTCAGTTTTCTGGATGAAAATGGGAAGAGCATTGCTCCAGGAAACTTCGAGAGACATTGGGGTATTTTCGGGTACGACGGTCAGCCAAAGTTTGCAATAGATCTTTCTGGTCAGGGCCAAAACAAACTACTTGTGGGAGCACAGGATGTGCAGTATCTTCCTCAGAAGTGGTGTATGTTCAATCCAAATGCAAAGGATCTCAGTAAACTTGCTGATAACATAAATTATGCGTGCACTTTTTCAGATTGCACTTCTCTTGGATATGGATCGTCTTGCAATAATTTGGACGCTAATGGGAATGCTTCTTATGCATTTAACATGTATTTCCAGGTGCAAGATCAAGATGAACTGGCCTGTAATTTTCAGGGCTTAGCCACAATAACCTCACAGAATCTTTCGCAAGGTACTTGCAATTTCATCGTCCAGATAGCTTCCTCCTCCTCGACCCCGCCCTTTGCTGCTTCTTTTGTTAGTTTATTAGCATCTATGGCCTTGTTATTCACTGCATTGTTGCTATAATTTCTTCTGTAGATACTCTGATGGATGCCCATTTTGTTACTTCTTTACTTCATTTTTTTTTTTCTTATGGTTCGTAGGTTTTTTTTCTTTTTTTCTTTTTTTTACCTCATTTTTAAGTTCTCTATGAATTGATTGATTCTATTCAATCACTACTCTGGTTCTATGCATACAGTCATGACTGAGAATTTTTGTTGAATCCTTTATCTGTTCTACATTTAAACTTGATGGAATAGAGCATATGAAAAGTTGTAATGGATGTAACCATTTTCTACCAACGAAATGAATCCATCTTGATTGAATACCATAAAGAAATGAAGCTACGTGATCCCACATTGGTTGGAGAGAGGAACGAACAAAGCATTCTTTATAAGAGGGTGGAAATCTCTCCCTTACAAACGCATTTTAAAACTTTGAAGGGAAACCCAGAAAGAAAATCCCAAAAAGAACGAAATCTGCTAGCGGTGGGCTTAGGAGGCTATTGCAGTAACTAACATAGTCCAAGTAGTAATTGATACCCGGATGGTCTTAAAAACTAAATTCATCTCTGGTAAAACCTCTGAGAAATAGAAAGATGCTCGTCTTTTTGTACTCGAGAGTTCATTACTCTAATGTAGAAAGGAAAGGGGAAAGGGTAGTTGTGGTTTACATTGAAGAACCAAATAGTTGCAGCTTCTAGCATGGTTGGCCGGTAGTGTAGGTTTTAAGAAGAGGAAAAGGCAGTAGAAGTAGAAGAAGAGGCATTGATCATTCTCATCTCCATAACCCTTTTGTGTGAATTGGAATGCAAGAAACTCACAAAAGTAGGGCTGTTGGCTGGTCTATACTCTGGCACCAACCTTCCTGACTTCTTGTATCTAACTCCACATGCATTACATAATGTCTTGGGTCCCAATGGTCCACCCCTCCACTGTGGAGTCCTCTGTGCCTGACAATGGCTGCATCTCCTCCCACTCCCTGCACCCTGTTTCTGCTGCAGCCCCAAACTCTTCTTCACTGTTGTGTCTCTCTGATCCATGTCCACCTTCTTCTCCCTTTCTTCTTCTCCTCCTCCTCGAGCCTTATGCGGCAATAGGAGCTCACTGTCGGCCAACCAATATGTCTGTTGCAGCAAAAGAGTGTCTGCAGAGGAAGAGGTCAACTGTAAGGACTGTTTGCTCGGCAGCAGGTTCAGTTGATCGAGGTGGTGTTGACCAATGAGAGGGCGAATGCTCGTGTTGGCGGGCGCCTGTCTTCTTTTGCTTCTAGCCTTGCTGGGGACTGCAGAAAAGTGGGAGAACGGCGAGTCGGAAGAAGATGGTGTGGGGCGAGAGAGTGAATTTGGTGGTGGTGGAGGATTGTTGAGGTGTGTGGATAG